AGAAAGGGAGCGTCAAGAGTGATGGAAAAAAATCACATTGATTAAGGACAGGGTTGCACAGCTGACTGTTGTAACTACTATCTTAAGTTGTACACTTTTAAGTAAAAAGTTGTGTGATACAGTTACAATAAGCACACACACACACAAAAAGAAACTGCTGAGCCTGCTCGGGTACAACCAAAACACCTCACAGGGTTTGGTTCCTTGGTTTAGAGTAATTGGCTTAATCATGTTTTTAGTGATTTTATTCTACCCTCCTGGTTTGTTCTATAATGCCTGCCTGGGTCTTAAAAGCTTGCAAGCAGCCACTGAAGACAACAATTTGTTTCTATTCGCCTAAAGCGCTAAAGGAAGGAAAGTCAGGAAGAGGAGGATTTGGGCTCTGGTATGGTAGTGCTTACAATCTGAGCTGCTAATAATCTTATATAGCAGTTCGAAACTACCAGCAGCTCTGCAGGAGAAAGATGAAGCTTTCTGCTCTCAGAAAGCTTTACAGCCTCGGAAACCCTATACAGGGGTGTTGTGATTCGGAACCGACTCCACGGTACACAACCACCACCACCACCACCATGGACTACGGAGCTAACTGCCTCCTTTGTCACGAAACCAGGAAGACCTGGATAGTGTCTGGCTTCCATTACTGAGGACACACAGTGGCTCTGTATGAAGCTGGACTGCAAACCCAAGCCAGTGATTTGAGCCCACCAGTAGACTTCATTGGACAAAGATGAGGCTTTCTGTTCCCACAAAGATTTACAGCTTCAGAAACCCTATACAGTGGCTAGAGTCAAAACTGACTCGACAGTTCATAACAACCACTACTGAGCATTTTGATCAAAGGAACCCTATTATAGGAGAATTCTAATTAAAAGGAGGGGGATGTAGATAAAAATTTCAAATTTTCATCGACTCTAGACTTTCGGAGCCATGGAGGATGGATGAACCCCTGAAACTGAGATAATCTTGCAAACTAAAGGCAAAAGTTTTATTCCCCCATAGTATCCTTGACAATGAAATAGTAAAACAACTACCTTGAATATTATGCTCTTTTAAGAACTATCTACATGGGATCAAAGTGATAAGAGCAACTAAAATACATTAGCTAGGCACCTTAGGGGCAATGAGTTTAGGTTAATGAACTCTTTTCCAGGGAGAACCAACTGGACAAGATGGGTGAGAACAGCAGAAGTTAAAGGAATGACTTATTGGTTCCATGTGATACCCAAAATGCAACCTATGAGGGGGCTTCAAAATGTGTTTGAAAAAATGTAACCAAAAAGTAATGGAATTCTTCCAGAAACTTTTTGAAGCTTTCTCATACCTCTGCCCTCAAAAATAAAACTGGCTAAGTCTCAAACCAACCAGTCACTTCTCAGAAACCCTATACAGACAGGGCACTTAACAACAACCTTTTAATAACACAGACTAGACACCAACTAGCCAAACAATAAACTGAAAACTAAATCACCACTCACCGTTACCTTCTACAGCACACATCCTTAGGCTACTTTAGTTGCACCCTGATATTGAATAAGACAAACCACAAATATAGGAAATTCTCATAAAAACAAGTCAATATTTTGAGTTAAGTACCTACATCAAGTAATTTCTGACTCATAGCGACCCTGTATAGGGTTTCTGAGGCATTAACAATCTTTGCAAAAGTACAAATTCTCATCTTTCTCCTGCGGAGCAGCTGGCAGACTCAAACCGCAAACCTTGTAGTGTACAATCCAGTGTTTATTGTATGAAGCGACCACACTCCCATATATCAAGTTGTTATTATTGTTACGGTACAGTCAAATTGGAACCAACTCACAGCAACCCTGTATAGAGTTTCCAAGGCTTTATTTAAATCTTTGAGAGAGTAAAAACTCTCATATTTCTCCTATGGAGTAGCTGGCAGGCTCCAATCACAGACCTTGTGGTTCACAACCCAGTGTTTATTGTATGGAGCCACCACACTCCCCTATTTTGAGTGTATTGTTAAGCGTAGTTGAGTAGGTTCTGATTTAAAGCAACTCTGTAGAGGATTTCTGAGGACCAGCTGATGAGTTTGAACTGCTGAATTTATGGTTCAAACTGACCTTGTAATCAAGTGCTTATCCAATGGTGTCACACCAGGACTCCATATTTCGAGTAGAGAACCTCAAATGAAGAGTTGATTTGTAGCCTATAAAAGTTCCCTCTAGAAACTGAGGATAGCTTACTATGTATTTCTTTTTAAGAAAAAATATCCAAAACCTGGAAATAAGGCAGCAAGATTACTGGATAACTTTTCAAGGTCTTACTAGAAAACACAGAAGTCTAGGGTGATCAACCACCGCCGTTTTCCATGACTAAGATTTCAGAGTGTCTCAAAATGAGATTCCAGGAGGCATGGAACTTTATACAATTTATCCATTACTGTCAACCAGCATCCAGATTTGAAGTTGGATCAATATGTTGTGAATGATTCTTATATGGTTATTGTTAAGCGCTGCTGAGTCTGTTCCGACTAACAGCAACCATAAATTTCCAAGACTGTAAATCATTACAGGAGCAGATGCCTCATCTTTCTCCCATGGAACTGCTGGTGGGCTCCAACTGCCAATGTTGTAGTGAGTGCTTATCCTAAAGAGTCAATGCACCCCTTAATGTGTTAGAGATGTAAATTATTCTGCTGGCAGAAAAGGATCACCTGAAAGGTATATGGTTTATTGCTCTGTGAGGTACTAACCAGTTGAATCTGACTTTGAGATTTTATTGGTTATTCTAGATAATTTTTTGAATCTCCATTTGAAACAGCTTTGTCATCTCCAATCAATGAGTTAAATGGAAATCTTTGACTTCTTACTCACTGTATGTTTGGATCAAAACTATGTTTCTAACTTTGGTGCTGTAATCTTGACACTCTTTTCAAGGCCTCGTAACATGATCAAGAAAATGAAAGAACAATTTTAAAAAAGACCGACACCAATCACATTAAGACAAAAGCTCCAACTCACAGACACTCTATATAGGGTTTCTGAGGAGTTGGCAATTTGAACCGCCGACCTTTTGATTCAAATCGACCTTTCAGTCCAGTGCTTATCCTAAAGCGCTATACCAAATGAAAAGAATCTGATAAAAAGTAAGTGTGTCATTCAGCTTTTTTAGTTTTGAGTTTGGATTCATGACTAGTTTACCCCACCTGAAAAAAACAGGCAGTAAAGGGGAATAGTCAAAAAAAAAAAAACACCAAAACATGGCAAAGCAACTAGATTTGAGAGGAAAGAATTTTCTGTTTTTGTTACTGAAACTCCTACTTTCCCCACACGTCCCAACTGTATCAAGTCTCATGAATATAGATTCCCAAAGTCCCAAGGCACGGTTTTGGGGATCTATACAAGTGTCTGTAAGTGATAAGTCCATGCCTAGTGTTGAAATAACCATATGCCCTTGGCAGCCCTGTCTGCTTGCAATCTTTACTCTTCCAGTTCCAGGTTCCTCCAGGCAGACCAGAACCTGCACATCTTCCTTTGGAGACTGAGAAACTGTGACACCGTATACCAGGTTACAGAGTCCTTCCAACCTAAATGGATTCAACCTTTTTAATTCTTAACCAGTTATTTGTTCAAGGAAACCAAATCTATCCTGTTCCTTGCTAAGACCCCTTAACATAGCCCCATCTCTTCTCCAAATCACCCTCAGACCCCTCTGTATCAGAATCTGACAGTAACTCCTGGGGAAACTTCCTCAGGCTCATTCAATGCAGAGTTAAATTCACTCCAGATTAATACATGCCCTTCTAACTGCTTCTATTTTTCATTCAATTAATCAGGAAAAAGCTAATGTCTCCAAATCGTCCATCTGCTTTTGTTGGCAACTCTCCACACAGATCCTTGCGGTGTCTGCAGCAGTACTACAGTTGTCTGCCTGTCCATTGCCTTAAAGCCCAGGAAAACAACAAACCTATGGAAATGTGCACCAGAGCAAACTGCTACTATTATTGTTAATGTGACATTTTTTTTGTTTACTTCACAAACATAAAATACTACTTGGTCAAGAAATAAATATAGAAACTCTCTCTATGGATTGATTTTAAGGGACTTTCAAGGCACTGATTTTCCAATAAAAAGTTCTGGGAGAAGAAATATGCACAGCCTCACCCTCAAAGATAATCCAGAACTCAGATGAACTCATTGCACAGGCTCTGTAAGAAATCTAGTCAAGCACCTAAAGAGGGAAGAGCCCAATTTGTAGAAAAATGCAGCAGCTGTCAGAGTTGCAAGGTGACTCAAAGGTTTCAAACATCATCTATGCTTTGTCAGTACAGTGAATTGGCACAAAAGAAACAAAGAAACGTTCTCAGTAGGATCTGACTGTGGTGGTGTTTGTTGTTTACAATCAAACACAAATGAAGGCAAAAAGTAAACAAATGCAAACCATTTCAACAGTGAAATTCCATAAACTGCCCGTTATAAGCTTTATACTGAGGTTTGGCACTGTGGATTAACGTGCCAGACTGCAAAGCTGTTTGAACTGCAAGGTTGGCAGTTCAAGCTCAACAGTCACTCCTTGGAAACCCTATATAGGGTCGCAGAACCAACTCGATGGCACTTAACAACGACAACTGACAGGCCAATTGCAGGCTACAACTTATGTAAAATCCTCATCCAGTTGCATGCACTTTGGATAAGTTATCAACAGAGTTGGTGAATCTTCTCTGGGGCATGTGTCAAGGCATAAGTTAAAAGATCTCAAGCACCAAGTTTAAAGTTATAAAAGGCAGTACCTGGGGGCGCTTTAAGATAAAAACAGCACCTTTGCTCAAGACAACAATATACTTCATACACAAAGAGGACTGTGACCCCATTTTAATTATGAGGGAAGTTTTTAGTCACTGAGGTTAAAGATTACTTGATGGAATTCTGGGGAGGTGAGCAAGGAGCACACAAACTTCCTGCCCAGTCTTCGGTTCTAACTGGCCTTTCACCTGCTCTTTCCCTAATAACCTCCCCTCCCCGATCTCACCCAGTTCAGGTCACAACACAACAGCACAGGGATGTTTTCTCTCCTCTTTTTCCTTGTGAATTACGCGAAGCATCAGTTTTGGTTTGCTTCACATTAGTTTCCCTTTGCACACCTGTTGAAAAAACGGAGGCATCCCAGCTGCTGGAGACCTGGGGTCTGTCTTGCTCGTCATCCTCTTCACAAATATAGTAAGATCCATGTTTGGGTAAAGCAGCAGGTCTGTGAGACTTCAGGGAGCGGACATTGGTTGATTGGGAAGGGAGGGCATTCTGTCCTCTTCGCCTGCATTCTTCGGCAAAGGCGTCTTCATCTGCTATACCTGAAAGCATACAATTTAAGAGGGGAATGTGAGCCTGGCACTTTGGGAAACTACTGTCACTCCACTGAAAAGCAACGGAACTTCTACTTCTTTGGTTCTGAAGCTAAAGGGTGATTGACACATTCCTGGATGATCACCACCATCTACTATAGCTACATTTCTGGAGGAGGAGAAAAGAAAGATCTCAATTCACCAAGTGCACTACTGGGACCTGTACTTAGCCTTCCAGGAGAAGGAAAAGAGAAACAAGTTATATGAAAACCCAATGTATTTCTGTTCACCAACCCCACCACTATGGCCTACTAATGGTTTTTGACAGTCCAATGAACGTATCTTTTCCTAGAGTGACTATATACAGTCATAACCATTGTCAGAGCCTGACAATGTTGATAAATTCATTGTAAAAATCAAACAGTATCATCCTGGAAAGAAAAGGCATTGGATCCAGTCAGTGGGTTGATTTTCATGCAGCTGTAATTCTACAGTCTGTGCAAATTCAGTGGCACATAAGGTATTCTCTCACCACAAAATATTAAAAAAATGTTTTAACAGAGGTGGTGCCCTATTAGAAATATAACTAGGGCAAGATCTGTGTCTACCCAGCTGGCCCATCAAATTATAGTACCTAATAACTCATGCCTAGCAGCTGTACTCTCAGCTGAGTCAAGTAGTGTGATGCACTTGTCATCTATAGTGTCACGGATGCCTGACTAATACATTTGTACTTGATACTAAATTTCCATTTCCAAGAATCTTTTGAAAAATAGAAAAAAGTTTTGCAGATTGAGTGGATAGTAGGAATAAGAAAACAAATGATAATAATTGAGTGATTTCAACTTTGATTCTATGAATGTCTGATTGGTTGTTACATCGTGGAGAAGGAAAAAAAGCACTGCTAAAACTCCAATTCCAAAATTCTAAAACTATCCATCTGATGTGCACAGCAAAACCAAAAAGGGTAGAATTCTTTGTACCTCTTAATAATTAAGCCTGTTTATCTTCTAAATGAGCATTTGTCAAGTATGTTTTAAATAACCAACTGTTTCTCCTAATGCTTAAAATTCTGTGCCTTTAAGAGATCTGGAAAGTCACCTTTCAAGTGTAAACTGAGGCAGGAAACAGCATTCTTACTCTTGCACAATACAAAGTTGCTCCCCACTTACTGGCTGCTCTCCTTTCCTTCCCACTTTCCCCCAATCATTACAAAGAAGCATTTGCTCATTTAAAGACTCCTGAAATAAAATGAACAAAGAAATGAGTATAGCTTAAGTAAAATTTTAAATTATGGTTATTTGTACAGCACTGGTAATATATAAATGGCAGGTACCCTAGGAGGCTAGTTTCAACTACAGCTTTACCATTAAACTACATCTCATTAATTGTAGTAACTTTTTGACTTGCAAGGATTGGTCCTCAAATGGAAAATCTTCTTGGGCCACAGCTCAACTAGTGAGCTCAAATAGCAACACTGGCCACTGGCCTTCCTATAGAGAATCTCACTCAGTCACACAAAGTACAGAAATTCATTTTTAAGAAATACGAAGAATCGGTAGAACACATAGGAGGGGACTTCAAAAAGTTTGTGCAAAAATGACAAAGATAATGAATTTTTCCACAAACTTTTTGAAGCCCCCTTGTATCCTGGGGCTTACAGTTCTTACAAATTAGGTATTTTAAGGGTTAGGTTTTCCAAAGTGAGTCTCAAATTAACTAGAAGAGTTTAAGTTTCTTTAACACTTCTGAATCACAGCACTAAGTACAGATGGTCAATAAGTGTGTTCAACTGTTTTTCTGGAATTCAGACACTGTACCAATGAAAATACTCAACAAATTAACAGGTCTCAAATTTTCATCTTTTAGATCATGTTTTCCTGCCCTAATGAGCATAAAAATGGGATGTCATTTCTGTAGCCATTTTAACAAAATAACTACAAACTATTTTCAGCAGTGCAAGCAGATCATACAAGTTGGGAGAAAGTGACCGGTAACCCAACACACATGACATTCATAGATGTCACAACTTTCAAACACAGTTTTTAACATTCCATACCCACAAATCCTCATAGACCCCTTGAAAAGTCCCAACAAGGCACACTGCACTGACAACAGTAATGCACTGCATTTTTCTCAGTATCAAATCTAATTACTGAGCTGAGAGGAAACTGAAGCACTTTAGATCCAGTAGTCTTTTTGGTCTTGGGTTAAGTACTTCACTCATGGACTTAAGTTTTAGGTGATTTTTAAGACCCTTACAATTCTTTGTTGAATAAACAAAACAAAAAAATCAAGGATGTCACAGGTATGAGTATAGGCATCAAAAACACATACGTACAGGGCTTCTGAATAGATGTAGAGTACTTCTGAATAGCAGGAGGGAAATAATTAAAGGAAGACCAAAAAGATTGCCTGGGGTAGATTCAATTTCCAAGTCAAAAGTTGACACAGAAATTAGAAGGGTAGTTTCATCTCACCGGGGGCTTCTGTGCAATGCAATATCCAGCATTATGGTGAACAAAATGTTAGTATGTGCCCAACTACGGAGTCCTCTGAGGGCGTGGAATCTGCAGTGAATGCAAATTTACCGTTATATCGCTGATTCTTAAAAGTGACCGTTTGGGATTGTACTTCAGAAGTATACATGGAAACTGAAAGGTGGGAAGAGAGTAGGAGGAGAGTGCTGGCCATGAGGTTTCTGTGTGCTCACCTGGCTGTATCCTTTGATTCATGTGTTCCCCCCGGTGATGAGTCACAGCCCCGTCACTAGGCACCCTATGGTTGGCAAACAGTCACCCCAGAAACCAAGGAGAAACACTTTTAGCATTAAACATTACCCAAGGCATTTGATCAGCTTCTTGCCACCTTGGAAGGAAAAAAAGAAAGTGGATCCTATGTAAATAAAAGCAGGTATTGCAGAACATGGACTCAAAATGTTCAGATTCCTTGGGTTCAAAACTTGGTAGGTATACTAAGTCGACTTCCCTGCACCTTACAATAAGTGCCTGATTATTTGATGCAATTAAAAAAAAAAACAAAAAACACTCCAAGTACAGCATAGCATTTAACCAGATTTAACTGGGGGGTGGGGGTGGGGGTTAGTGGCAGGGGGGGTACTGGGAGGGGCTTAAAGCACACAGAATACCAAGAATCAATACTTTAAAGTCCATTTTGATTTTATGAACAGTGATGCCCTTCTAAACTTTAAGTGGGGTTGTGAGGATTACTGAAGAGGTGGCGCCAGCCCTCTTTACCTTATTGCACTTACCTCACTAGCAGCCATGAAGCGTCACATGTTTCAAGCAAACCAAGTCTTTCCCTATCATTCATTCATTTATAGTGGAGGTGGTTTATTCCCAGCTCATTCTTCTGGGAAACTCAATTTCCAACTATTTGTTATTCATAATTCTGCATGTACAGCTGCAATTACAAATGAGACTTACCTCCCCCACTTCAAGAATAAAACTGGTCTGAATAGATCATCGCAGGGTTTTGTTCTCCACATTTCCAGTGTATGAGAAAACTGTCATTGTTTCTTCTCTATTATTGGTTTTTAGTGGAGCTAGCTTACAAGTTAAAACAATACCAATATGCAAAAGTTTCCTAAGTTTCTTGCATCTCAGAGTTTGACAGGGTCGATCTGGGGCTAGGCAAGCCATAATCTGGATAGGAAAAGTGAGGCTTTGGAAATGGTTTCTATCATCACAGGTTCCATTTACTAAGCTATTTATTGTCCCATGTGTACAATGTACAGAAATATAAAGGTTTTTACAAGTGTTGTGTTTACAAAGACATCAAATGTACAATGTTTACAGGTAACTTTTTGGTCTCTCCCCAAACCAGAGAGAGATCTGTTTTGGGCTCAGGTGCACGGTGTCTCTTAATACATTTGGCATTAACAAGATATGCAAATGACTAGAGAGATTACTTACTTTTAGAATTCATAGTAACCATGGAGCAATGTGCAAACCTTGTCTTTAAGGGGAAAAAGCTAGTTAGATCATCCAGCGATTAAGAACATACTATCATTAAGTATTCCTGCAGTTTTTACTGTCATTCAAGCCCCAACTCACCTATTCCTTTCCTATTAATGCTAAATGGGAAAGCTTAGTAAGTCTCTGAAAGCTTACCTTTATCACTTCTCTTATAAAGAAGGTTTTCTTCCCCCCATCCTCTTACCCTATGCAAATCCTATTCAATGTTCAAGTCTCACCTCTGGAAAGCCAGAATTCCTTCCTCTCCACTCCCATTTCACTACAGCAGGAATTCTCAAGTGATTTTAGCATGAGTTAGTGCTTTCTCTAGTCTCCACTGTAAACCAGTTTTGAAACAAGTGGTTAAGTCACACATAAATTAGCTCCTATCTGTCCCATATGACTGTATCTTACTTACCCAAGCAGATATGTTTAAGGAGGACTAGTATAATGTGCCACTGTGGGTTAATACACCAGACTGCAAAGTCATTTGAACTGCAAGGCCAGCGGTTCAAGCTGCTCCTCGGAAACCCTATATAGGGTCGCTATGGGTTGGAACCGATTTGACAATATTTAACAACAGTAGTAGTGATCCCTATACAACGTTGCGACCCTAACCCAGCATTACCATCAAGTCGTTATGAGTTCCTTTGCACTCGCTATTTCTTACCCAAAGCCAATTCCCATGTTTTAAAAATGAGCATTTTAATTCAAGGACAATCAAGTCCTACAAATTTCCTCATATAACTTTACAGCTTGTGAAGTACCATGAAAGGTGATTCATGGAAAAGACAGAAAGGTGGAAAATGAGAACCAAAGATTAAATCATTTCCTTATCCAAAATTCTCACTAGAAATAATCACTCCACATCCCTTCATTAATGCAATCATTTTGGATGGACTAAATGTACAACAGATTTCTACTAGGTATTGATTAGTTATTCATAGAGGGGGCTACAATTCCCAAAACTGATAAGCTAGCTGTTGGCTACATAAATGTACTACTGAAGATAATTTTTGTTTTTTTTTTAAA